AAAAGAGATTGAAATCATAAAGAAAAACCAATTAGTATTGACAGACATGAAGAACACAATGGAAGAGATAAAGGAGAATCTGGAATCTTTAAAGAACAGAGCTGACAATATGGAGGAAAGAATTAGCATTATAGAGGATAGGAATACAGATATGCTCCAAATGGAAGAGGAGAGAGAACTAAGACTAAAAAGAAATGAAGAAAGTCTCCGAGAAATATCTGACTCTATTAGGAAATGTAACATAAGAATTATATGTATTCCTGAGGGAGAAGAGAGGGAAAGAGGAACAGAGAGCCTATTCACAGAAATAATAGCTAAGAACTTACCAAATCTGGGGAAGGAGCAGGAAATACCAGTAAGTAAAGCCAATAGGTCGCCTAAATATGTCAACAGGCAAAAGCCTACTCCACAGCATATAGTGGTAAGGCTGGCTAAAGTCAATGACAAAGAAACAACATTAAGGGCAGCTAGACAAAACCAAAAAATAATGTACAAAGGAACTCCCATCAGGCTCTCAGCGGATTTCTCAACAGAAACTTTACAGGCTAGGAGAGACTGGAATGATATGCTCAAAATACTGAAAGACAAAAACTTTCAGCCAAGAATACTCTATCCAGTGAAAATATCCTTCAAATATGATGGAGAAATAATAACTTTCCCAGATAAACAAAAGCTAAGGGAGTTCATGGCCAGAAGACCCCCACTACAAGAAATGCTCAAGAAGGCCCTCAGGCCTGAAAAAAAGAAGAGAAAGAGAATACACAGCTTGGATCAAGGAGAAAAATAGGTAGACAAAATCAGAAAAATAGTAGATCTTTACCGGAATAGGTTAGCAACCACTTAAATACCAAAATCAAAGATCAAAGAAAGGAAAACACCAAAAATAAATATAACCTCATCACTTTAAACACACACCCACAACACAAGATAGAATAAGTTGTGACAAGAATAACTTAGAAGGGGAAGAGGAAAGAGATCCAATTGACTTAGCATAAGGAAATAAGAGGCCATCAGATAAAGGACTATCTCATACACAAGATTTTTTATAAATCACAGGGCCAAAAATTGAAGCCGGCAACAATATACTTGCCCTCCTGGTTTTGTATCACAAAGCCAGAGCTCCTTCCCAAGACTGTGGCCCATTCCTGGAAGGCAATCAGAGGAGGGAGTGAGCAGCACGGCAGAGAAGGGAGACCCCCTGGCTGGGCAAAGGTTGGGGGTCTGTTGCTCTCTGCTGCCTGGCAGTACCTGGAAGTTTGGCAGGACCACAGAGGAGGACATATGATGGCACACAGGGGCTCCTGGCCTTGCCAGAGCATCCCAGGACCCCGGCAAGCAGGGAAGTAGCACAGTCACAGGGGAGCCTGTGAAGATGCCACATAAGCTCCAGCTCTGGTTTGACTCTGGTGTGGGGACCTGAGGGATGGAAGAGATCAAGTGTCCTGCCAGCTAGGCAGACTAGGGGTCTGGAGTCAAATATGTTTTAATTTCAAGAAAAAGATATTTCTTGGACAACTGAGATTCCTACTTGCTATACTATCTTTTATAGAATTTGGTACTTTATAAATATCAAAGTCCTTGCAGTAAGCCTCAACTTTGGTCACAGTAAGTCTCAAGATCATAACTGAATACCAGTCTAAGGACCAGCAATCCCAAAGCCAGGTGCCCATGACTCTCTATCAATTGTAGTGCAAGTTGACTCTTTCTTTTTTGTCCCCGAGGAGTCACGTTCCACAGAGGCCACTTTGTTCTACACAGGATCAGGGCAGCGTATGTGCAGCAATCACAGCTTACATTCAGCACCACCTTTATAAAAACCATGTTTGTCTGAATGTTTTCAAACTCCCCCACCATAAGAAACTTGAACTGTCCTCAAAGGAAAGGCTCCCTTGACTCATGTGGGATGAAGGGGGCTCATTCAAGTCTACACTAGCTGTCTCAGGACAGCGGTCCCTGGAAAGGCCGGTTGAGTCTGACTTCAGCCAGGTGTGCAGACCCTGATAACCAGTCAGTGACAGATGCTTGATGGGAGGGTCTGGCAAATAAGGTTTGAAGCTTTTGACATCAAACTAAATAATCTGGTTTACGACTCAGGGAGACTATTCTCTTCTCCTGTCTCCTGTTTTCACTTTCATAACTTCTTCTTGGAGAACAAAAGAGATCAGCCAAGGCCCCTGTCACCGGGGGACACAGAACTGCTTTTTTATGAATCTTTCATCTTGGAGGCGACACCTGAAGGCAGGGAGAGCACTGTCTCAGCCCAGGCCCCAGGCCAGCGGCCAGTAGCTGACCACAGCAATATTCAACACGACCCGTTAAACCACAGCTGTGATGGAAGAGAATTAGCATATTGGTAGCAGGACCACAGAGTGATAGTCTGTAATCAGAAATACAGACCGGCTCCTAGTTGGTAAATGCACTCTGGAGGTCACTGGAGTTAAAAAGATAAATGACCAACTGAATCACAGTCCATCACAAAAGCTGTACTTGGAAACAGCCAAAACACAGTCTGAAGTCCCTTCTCAATGGGTTGATTTCTACACGAAAAAATCAATGTCACACAACATATTGGGTCTTATGAGACACAGACCTCTAAAATTTGAGCAGTTTACACATTCATGGGGCCCCATAAAATATTCACTCAAGCCCTATTTTGCATGTCCTATAAATATTGATTTGAAAACACAAATGTAAAAATTTGCTTTGGCCTCAAATTTTACAAAAGACCTCGCTAATGTTTCCTAATGCCCATAGGAAATGAGGCAGGGCCCTTGGAAGTCAGTCTTTCCCACTGTGACAAGTCATTTATCTGGAATTACTGGGGCATGCAGAAGACCCCAGATATAATTTTACCGTTTCTTGATGACTCAAGGCCATCATCACTGCAACCAGTGGCAGCTCCGTGATCTGATACGCAGCTGTGCTTGGGGACTACCCAGGTGTGCCGGCCCCTCTGCCCTGGCGCCAGGGACAGCAGGGTGGTCAGGGAAGGCTGCTGAGCCCCCCTCCCCATGAGTATTTCTAGCTGGGAAGAGGCACAGGCTCGGAGGCCCCACCAAACCCCTTCCCCAAGGGCAGGGAACTTTCCTCCCAACTCAGGCTTACCTACGACCCCGTCAGCCCATGAACGATTTCATGTCTTCAGAGACCAAAGAGCAACTTCATTAATATATAGTCAATAAATACTTACTGAGAATAAGCCATGCATATCGTGGGACCCTCAGCACATAGCACAGCGAAGCTTCTCTATAAATGTTGATGGAAGAAGGATGTGTGTGTGTGTGTGTGTGTGTGTGTGTGTGTGAAAAAGAGACAGACACAGAGAGGGGAGGATGAGACACACAAAACACATACATTAGGAATGTTCAATAAAAGAATGTCAAATTTAATGATGGTAGTATAAAAGATATTAGGGAGAAATGTAATTTTACATTTCCTAGTCTTTTAATGAAACACATGAATCATGTGTGTGTATGTGTGTGTGTTCCGTCACACAAATAAAATATCTGAAGTTCACTTTTAAACTTAATTACAAAAGGAAAAATATTGAGAAAAAAATGTTGAGTAGCCTAAAAAATTGGTATTTTCATGCCTTGAAAAGAATCACAGTGCAGTTAGGGAAGCTGAGAAATTACATGAATCTCTTTACATCCTCTAGATCGGCCAGAGAGCCCTTTGAGAAGTCCAGGAGTGGAGGTTCTGCACCTCCTCTGGTGCTAGCTACAACTCTGGATCTTTCTCATATTTAAAAATGTCCTTCCTTACACATACCGGGACTGGAGTGTCTTTCTCTTGTCCTTTGACAGACGCCAGTCTGGTCAGCTTCTTACAGATACTTACTAAGCGACCTCTTAACAACACAGCAGTCAGCTTCTACCAAGTTCCAGTACCTGGGCTAGAATATTCTGTGTGTGCATGACGTGTTACTTATTGGAAGATCACATATGAATTAGACATAGTGGCCTGACTTGTATTCTCGAGAGCTGAGAGCGAGTGGGAGGGCGGACAACGCCTGCGGTAAGTGTGATGGCACACACACGCTCAAGGCCCCCTGTGGAAGAGCGGGTGGTGACCGGCGCCTCTTCGGCTCTGGGTTGGTCCTCAGGTTTGTCCTTTCTATCTGCACACAGGCCCAGGGAGGTGCCCCCTCAGTGTCCTGTGATCAAGAGACCCCTGAATGCCAGGGGAAGTATAGCTGACCACCCTGGGGTCAGGGAATCACTTATTTCTGCCATAAATTTCACGTACCCATCAACTGCTTTCTTTCTGAATTACCTCTCAAGAAAACTATCTTTTGATTCATTGCTCATGGTGTGAAATGCTACTTCCCCGTATCAGTCTCCTTTCTCCCCCAAAATTCTAGGGGATCATCTTCTGCCCGTCCATAAAACCAGCATGACTGTCTGGTGCAGTGGCCAGCATCCTCGACAGCACTCCTGCCTAGGTCACATGGTCTAGGCCATAGTGCTGCCGTTCGACAGATAGGAACGGTCTGATTGGAGAACATGACGTTACCAAAACACAGCAGAATCTCACACACTGGAAGTTCAGAGGAATTCAGAATATATCAGGAGGACAGCCTGAATCGATCCAAAACCTCATTCAAAACAGTTTGCGTAGTGTATACTAGAAGTGCATTGCTCTACGATTTTTAGACACCAAGGCACAGAAGCGCAGCAAGAATTCAGTGTTTTGAGAAGCACAGGGTGTCTCGTTTCTGTGAGCAGCAGCTTTCTAGAAGGTAGCTACCTCTTACACTTTACTCTGCACCACGTGCCTTTATCAACCTCACAGTACACTCCAGCCGTCCACGGCTGCACCATTCAACAGACGGCTAACAGTAAGTCTTACACTCCTCTGTTCTTCTTACACAGAAGACACCCAAAGATTCCTTAAGATGCTGTGAGCACTTGAAACCACAGGCACACTGGTAACTGCCCATTAAGGCAAAATGCTCTGAATATTCTTGTTGACAATATAGCAAAAAAATATTTACAAACCTGAGCAGAAAGTGGAGGCGAAGTTCTGGAGGGCGGAGTCCACCTCCCGCACACTGGGCAGAGCCAGCAGGTGAGGCAGGAGGCTCTCCAGGGACTGCACAAACAGCCTAGCGCTCTGCTGGTCAGCTTCCTGGTTCTTCAGCAGTTTGAGAGACAGAGCAGCGGTTCGCAGGGACCTGTGGCCCAGGCAGTCTCTCGGGGTCTGCTCTTCGTCAGCCAGTGAACAGTTGTCTGACCCAATGTCTGACACGTCAGACCGCCCTGAGTCCTTTTCTGCTGCCATCGAGTACTGGTCACAGGAGTCAAACTCTGTCCTGGAAAGGTCTTGGTCCTCGACGCTGAAGTTGCTCTCGCTGTACCGAGACCCGCAGGACCTCATCCTGCAGTCCACCGACAGGAAGTTGGTGATGTCGGGGTACGCAACTGTGTGGCTTCCCTGCACCACATCAGGCTGGTCCACTGCTTCCGGTTCTGACGCCTTAGTCAGGGCCTCCTTGCTCTTCTGGACAGCTGGCGACTTGAGCCCGTTCTTGTGGTGTTCAGGGTGGTCCTCGGGTGTAGTCTGACCCAACTCTCCCTCCAGAGTGGTCTGGCCCGTGTCGGTGGTTACACTAATGCTGATGTCAGGGCTCCTCTCATTCCCCGCCTCCCAGGGCGTGTGCTCTGAGGACAGGACTCGCCGCTGCCAGCGGAAGTCAGCCTCGTTGATCTCCACGGAGTCTCGGCTGGACTCAGACCCATCCTTCAGCTCCTCAAGACGCAGGAGCAGCAGCTGCACCTGCCCTTCGCTCAAGCCCTTGCCCCGGCTGAGCTCGTCCAAGGCCCCGAGCAAGGTGCAGACACAGGACACAGCAGCGTAGCATGCTTCCACGCCACCCTTGATGCACGCTTCCGTCACGCCATCCATGATGCTGAAGTGTGCAAAGGAGAAAATGGCATCAACACAAGCTCCACGACGAACAAGAACTGTTAGACTAGTGAACAGCGCAGTACTCAAAACGGGTACTCTAAACCACACGAAATTAAATGGTCTGGGCCAAAAATAAAATGAACAACAACTGAAACAAACATGCTCAATGTGGCAGAGGAAAACCTTTAGGTAAAGTGTCCCACCTCGAATCACACTGCCTCTTGGTGGGCTGGTTTACTTGGGAACAAACAAAAGTTTTAGACGGGAATTTACAATCCTCACAAGGACAGGCAATGAATAATCTCACTTTTGTATTATGTTCAGTTTTTTTTTTTTTTTAAAGATTTATTTATTTATTCTCCCCCTAAAGCCCCAGTAGATAGTTGTATGTCATAGCTGCACATCCTTCTAGTTGCTGTATGTGGGATGCGGCCTCAGCATGGCCGCAGAAGCGGTGCGTCGGTGCACGCCTCGGATCCGAACCCGGGCCGCCAGCAGCGGAGCGCGTGCACTTAACCGCTAAGCCATGGGGCCGGCCCTTATGTTCAGTTTTCATAAGAAAATAGTTATGGCTATATGATAACGTGGACCTCTTCTATAAAATAAACATATTCCGGAACAGATGCATGTGAATACAAGTACTGCAAATCAGATGATATTCAGTTTTCTACATGTAAAAGGGGGCAACATGTACAGGAATCCTATAGCTACAGTATTGTAATTCAAAAAGTTGTTCCCTAAAATAACCCCAATGAATAATTTTTGTACATTTCATTTTGTATATTGGGTTTAAGTCAACATGAAAACATGGAAAGTTCTATGACGATGATAAATTGAGATAAGCCTTCTCAGATGGCTTGTGGGTTTGTTGTGAAACAGTCACATTCCATATAGCATAGGTTCATAAAAAATCAGGAATTTGGAGTCAAGGTTTAGAGTGTTCAGAGAAGCTGTCTTTGCCAGGCAACATAAAAAAGGGGGAGGTATCATACAGTTTGAGAAGATCCAGATGAGACTTTCTTTTTGAAATTGATCTTTTTCTGGATTCTGGTTCAGTGGAGCTGGGTCCTGCCAAATCACAGAGACGCTGTGGGCTCCCAAGTAGCTTTAAGAAAAAGGAAAACAAAAAAATAGCCGAAAAGTGAATATCATAAAAAATCGCAAGGTTTTAAAATGGTGAGATCAAATAAACATGTACTTTCTTTACTGAGTAATATAGTCTAAGGAGAAACACCACTATTCAGAACCACAGATCTTAATAAAACTGATGTGGCTGCCTTGTGACACAGAATGCACACTGGACTCCCAGCTCCCCAGGTCAGGACTGGCTCAGACAAAGAAAATCCTCTGAGGGCTGTTCTGAAAAACCGTACAGCACACAGTTGGGAGCATCTATGTTCTGTAGTGAGACTGACTCTGTGTCTTATTTTGCTATCAAGTTTTTTAAGTTAGCTTTACTTAAAAAACATAAAAACTTGACTGAGAAGCACTCCCTCCTTCCATTCTCTGAAAAGTTCATGTGTCATCAGAATTACCTGTTCCTCGAACGTTGGTATAACTGTTTCTAAAGCTACATGGGGCCAGTAATTTTTTTTTAATTGAAAGATTTTAACTACTGATTCAATTTCTTTTAAAAGATTATAGGACTATTTAGGTCCTCAACTTCCTCTTTAGCCAACTTTTCAAAGGTTGTGTGATTTCCCAGGGATTTACCCATTTTATCTGAGTTTCAGATTTACTGCCTGTCATTGCTTTAATCTCCTCCTCGTCTCTTCACTGTTTGTGACAGCCTGGTTCGTGTGTTCCCAGCCTTATCTCTGTTGATTTGCTCCTTTTCTGGAATTTTTCAATTGTTTTTGCCAGAAGATTTCCAATTTTCTTAGTCTTTTCAGAGTCCTGGTATTTTTCACTTTATGGATCCACTATATTATATTTGCTTTTTATCACATTACTTTCTGCTTTTATCTTTATTTTTCCTCCTTTCTACTTGAATTTAATCTGCTCTCCTTTTTCTAACTACCTAAGTGGGAGAATTAGAACATTAATTTTAGGCTTTCTATTTTTCAATATAAGCAATTGAAGCTATAAATATCCTTCTGTGTACTTGCTTTGGCTGCATCCCACAAGTTTTCATGTATAGAATTTTCATAATTGTTCAGTTCTAAGTAATTTTTATTTCTATATGGTAGAAGTCTTTACAGAAACTTTCAATCCAAGGCTAAATTAACTCCAGGGCAGCCTGGTTAACTAAGTGTATTGGTGTAGACATCCTAGTGCTATGTCCATTATTTTCAAAGCAATTTATACTCACAGAAAACAGGATATTAAGTAGAAAAAGTCATGTCGTAAGGGCATGCTTCTCTCCCTCTTTCCATATTTCTTTCTTACCCCAGAATTAGGAACTTCTGCTGTGTTGGAGGCACAGAAATGAATTTTCCACTTTTCTCTCCGCATTTTACCTCTTTCACATCAAAAGCGGAGTGACGGAGGCAAAGCCCTCTCTCTCTGCCCGGCTACATCCCAGGGAACCAAGGGGCCTCTGGGCCTCCCGCCGTCCCACCTCTCACTGGAAGGGTATGTGCATTTCAGGGGTAGGAGTGGGGAATCTCGCTCTCCCTTGGGATCCCATTACTCTCTCTCACCTGACTTTAGATGAGAAATCAGATGATACATGTTAGTTCCCACACTAATCTTTTAGTGTTTATGTCTCAGCTGCTTCAGAATCTGGAGAAAAGGGGACTGAGTGATTAGGCTTCTGGAGAACCCTCAACAAATACTTAAAGAAAGGCAAGGCCTGTTTAATCTCAGTTTCCTCCAGTGGGAATGAGGGATGTGGAGCAGTGGCTGGGGTACTCCGGATACAAAGTATGTCCTTAGCACTCAGAGATCCGGGCTTTAGGCGGGCAGCACCTCAAGTGCCCGTCAGCTCTGAGGGAGAAAGGCTGCTGCTGAGGAACAGCCTCTGTGCAGACCCCTGTCTGCAGTCAGGTCACTCAGTCAGAACTGACTGCACACTTACTCTGAGTCAAGCACTGGTGCAGACACGAGGGGGGCTCACAAAAGCCACGTACCCACAGCTACACCTGGGGAGACGAGAAGCTTGCTCCCCGTTGTTCTGTGAAACAGTCAGTGTGATGGGACACGTCATCAACGGCTAAATGGTGGGACAGGGTTTAAAGAAGAGCAAAATTCGTGGTCTGAGGAAGCAGAGCTGTGGAGGAGGATTTGACAGCAAAGAGGCAGCTCTACTCAGAACACCTGGGCTCACGTTTTAGCCTCACTGCTCACAAGAACTTTGGACAAGGAACTTCTCCTCATGGAGCCTCGGCTCCCCATCTGGAAAATGGGCATGTTGTCATCTTCCCAAGGGAGCCTGCAAACAGCTGTGTGAAGTGTCAGCAGTGTCTGGCCCACTGGCCATGAGAATAGGGACAGAGAGTCGGAATGGAGGCAGGAAGGTGAGAACTGAACAACGCAGGTTGGTCAGAGAGAATTAGGGTGATCCTGGGAGATGATAGGAAATGGGAATGAGGATAGAAGGGTCTGCAAACCGGGCAGAGTGCTTCAGACTTGATGGGAGAGGCAACAAGGAGCCATTAGAGAGTGGAGAAATTGTTAACAGTGGTGACTTATGAATATAAGCCCAGGAAAACAAGAGGAACAAAACACACAGGCAGGAGACAAGGAGATGGTGCACTTCTCCAGGCAGGAGCTAATAAGGACCAGCTGTTCTCATTTGGCTAGTTTTTCTCTTCCTTAGGGTAGCAATAAGTGCACCAAATATTTATCACTTCACGCTTACATAGCACTTATACAAACTTCATAGCATTTTGAACTTGCAACCTTTGGAATCTTGTTACTATGTACGGATGAGAAAATTGTAAGCTCAGAGTGACATGATTTAGCTACCATAACCCAGCTGATGAGTGGCAGAGAGAGGATTCAAACCTTGACTCTTAAACTCAGGCTCCCGAAAGGGAAAGGAGCTGCTGGAATCCTCTGCGTTACATATGAACATAAGTGTGGTGCAGGAGAAGACTATGGGCTTCGGCTCAGACGGGGGTGCGCACCCTTTCTCTTTCTTCATGACCCTGGGCAAATCATTTGACCCCTTGAAGCCTTAGTTTCTTTATGGGAAGGAAAACTGCTTTTCCCTGGGATCATGTTTCTGTGGGGAGGAACACCCTGGGCCCCTCTCCCTTTCTCTCACTTCTTTCCAGTGGAGGGGGAGGTCTAAGCTGACTGGTAAATTTAGGAGACGGAGCTGAGCATGTGCGGCCAGCCCCTTCCACTCTCCTCTTCCTGGAGACCCACCTACTCAGGAAAAGCTCACTCCTGCCCCTCCAGGGTTCAAGCTTAACAGGGCTGGGCAGGTCCCCAGAGGAGGGCCACTGCTGTCTGGGTGGTGCCGGAGTAGTCTAGTCTAGCTTGTCCCCAAAGCTGTACTGTGTTCACCAACCTAGGGGTGATCAGTTAGGAAAGCTGACCCTTTGATCTCCATGGCCTGGAGCTCTGATGGGGAAAAGAGGTAACATTCTTCTTTGGTAAAAGTTGATATACAATCTCACAAAGTTATTATGAATATTAAAGATAATATATGTGAAGTGCCTGGCATATAGTTGGTAACAAAAAAAATGGTAATTATTATTGTGTGTTCATAGATTTTCTTAATCAGCAATTAAATCTGAATCCCTTCTTTATTTCTAGAAACGGTGGGTCAGAACTTTCCATTATTCGTTACAGTCAATTCTCATGAAAACAACACCAAGAAGCAATCCAAATTAAGCTTTTTAGAAATTGGTGAGTAGCAAATATTTTTTTTTTTAAAGATTTTATTTATTTATTCCCCCCCCCCAAAGCCCCAGTAGATAGTTGTATGTCATAGCTGCACATCCTTCTAGTTGCTGTATGTGGGACGCGGCCTCAGCATGGCAGGAGAAGTGGTGCGTTGGTGCGCGCCCGGGATCCGAACCCGGGCCGCCAGCAGCGGAGCGCGCGCACTTAACCGCTAAGCCACGGGGCCGGCCCGAGTAGCAAATATTGCTTAAAATAAATGAATCATCAATAAGGGCATTTTGGTACTCTGATTTTTTTGGTGACGGTTACAAAAGCAAATGCAATTTGACCTTCAAGAACAAATTCACAAATACAAAAATGTGAACCACTTTTCTTTTCGGCTGAGAAAAAGCAGAAGAATCCTTGTTTGAAGTACCTTCAAAATAACCCTAATTCCTCCTCAAAACCAAGAAGTGGCACACTGGACTGGCTATTCTAAGCTGGACAACCTTTATGTTCTCTCTGGGGTCACGACACCAGGAGAGATGAGGCATAAGAAGGATTACTTGCAGCAATCAGAGATGGTGAAGCTCTTTTCTGGATAACACATAACCTAAGTATAAAATCACTCTGAAATCCAATTTCCATGAAGGTGAATGAGCATCTGTATCTGTGCAAACAGTACCTAAGGGAGCAGAAGGAATCCCAGCCCGGGCCTAGGCAGACGCACGCCGCTGGACTGATCAGACAGCTTTGCTTCAGTGAGCACTCATCACCCTCCTCACCCTGCTCCAGCACATGCACACAGCTCATACAGATGCTGCCTGTCACTGGGCACCCTGTGGTAGCAATAAAGTCCCAGCAAGTTTCTCTTTCACAGAAGCTCCAGCAAGTGGTTGGCAAACATGTTCTGAGTGCTTCACGTGTGCAGGACACTGTGCTCAGACCTGCCTGACAAAACCGGGGCCTTCTTCAGTGCCTCCCTACCTCTTTCATGATTTTGATGGCTTCCACCCGGTGCTGGGGTGGGGGATAAAGTAGCACGCGGTGATAGAGGGACTGGAGCACAGGCTTCATGGAGTCCACCGCCCCCACCAGCCGGACCAGCTCAGCTGCAATGTAGTAGATAGTCCGAGCCACGGGCCCGCTCAGGGCTGGCGCGGTGGAGGAACAGCCCGAGCCCCGGCCATGGTCGGAAACTCCAGGAGATGCGGAGTCTGACTCGATGCTGGCACTCGTGCTGCCGCTGTGAGCAGACGTGATGGTCTTGTCATGAACTGGATTCCCCAGGATCACGATGAGAGCAGGGCAAAGGTTTTTCCTGGGAAGAGACGGGAGGAAAAATTAGTTTCACTACAAGCCAAATGATAACATGTGAATACCGTCCTGAGAGTAAATACCAGACGCCACAAAAATGACTAATAAGAGTCAAGTTCTTTGTTGCTTCTTCTTCTGGCTACCTTCTGCCCCAGTTGCCCATGTCTCTCCATCACTTCTGGGTATGTCAACAGAATTCCTTATAACTCAACCTAGGGTTAACTAAATAAAATATCAAGAGAAGTATTAAGAAACCATCTTATGTGAGGAAATAGACACAAAATGCTAAATGGCTTAGTTATAAAGGTTCATTTTAATATAAATAACAAAATTATTTGTACTTCTCATTTAAGAAGTTAATTTAAAATTCTGACATATCATTCAACGTCTTCCCTGTCAACAAGCCCAGAAACCCAGAGCCACTAGCTGGCTGCCTGTGGGTCCCTGTGTGGATCTCTGACTATGAGTGACTATGAGGTTGAGATGGAGAAGGCACCAGGGCTAAGAATAAGGGTCTTTAGCTCTTGTGCCCCTGTGCAACTTTCTGGTGCCTTTCTAAGCTCTTAGAACAAACTAATAACCTAGGAGATAATCTCCTTGTTCCTGAGTCTCACGATCCTATGATGTAAACAAATGCACGAGGGCCGTGGAGGCATACTCTGCTACAGTAATCATCAGTCTCTCTCTGTACTTTGGACTGGTGCATCTAAGCGAAGCAATTTCCCTCCTTTCCCTCTAAAATATTTACACACAGGTGAAGTGATGGGTAGGTCACGGATGCTGTGGGAAGAGACCCACAGACTTGGTGGGGGTGTGGGGACGGGCGCTCACCAGATCAGGTCTGTGAAGCCTCTGTGCAGGTGCATGGAGGAGGAGGAGCCACTGAGCACGGACAGAATGCACTCCAGGTACAGAAGCTGCAGCTGCTGACTGTCACTGCAGAAGAGCAAAACCAACACAAACGCATACACAACAAAGGCTAGATTAAAGAGGTCGCGTGTGGGAAACACTTGGAAAAATGTCAGGCATTACCGAAGTGTTCATTTTTGGGTGGCTCGGGGGGTGTTAGAGTTCTGGGTTGAATTGTGTCCTCCCCAAATACATATGTTAAAATCCTAACCCGCAGCACCTCAGAAGGTGCCCTTATTTGGAGACGGGGTCTTCACACAGGCAATAAAGTTAAAGCACCCTCTGTCATCAGAGCTGGTCCTAACCCAACGTGGCTGTGTCCTTATAAAATGGGGAAAATACATATAGAGGGAAGGTGATGTGAAGAGACACAGGGAGAAGATGGCCGTCTGCAAACCAAGGAGAGAGGCCTGGAACAGATCCTTCCTCAGCCCTCAGAAAGAACAAACCCTGCCCATACTTTAATCTGGGACCTCTGGCCTCCAGAACTGAGACAGTAAATCTCTGTTGTTTAAACCACCCAGGTTGTGGTACTTTGTTGTGGCAGCCCTAGCAAACTAATACAGTTAGGATGATTTTTTTAGTAACAGACTTTACTTTTCAGAACAGTTTTAGATTTACAGAAAAACTGAGCGTGGTCCGAGAGTGAACATATCTCACCCACTCCTGTACAAGTTTATCCTGTTACTAACATCTTACCTCAGAATGGTACATTTGCTACCATTAGCGAATAAATATTGATATTTTATTATTACATAATTCCACACTTTATTCCAGAAATGTTAATTCTTAATATGTTTAATTGTCTAAACCTTTCAAGAGACCACTTACCACATTATCTTTTAATTGGTCAACACTTTATTAACTTGAATTTACTTTTCTTCTTTATTTATTGAATGCAACATGGTTTTTCAATGAAGGAATTATTTTTCCCTAAAATTATCACGGGATTCATAAACAGAGACAAGGAAGGAAATAGGCAACTTCATGGAATGCCCATTCTCATACCCAGGGTAAGTTTTCTGTGAAGCCCACCAGAAAGTATTACCACTCAGGCGGCTGGCAAGAATCACAAGTAGGGGTAAGGAAGAATTTAATTTTCAAGAAGATATTTACTACAAGCATATAATAAATACTTTGACAAGAATTCATTCAGGAATCCTGTGTGGAATGGCATATTCAGAAAAAGGGAAAACTTGCTTTTAAAAATATATATATATATATTTTTTTGGTGAGGAAGATTGTCCCTGAGCTAACATTTGTGCCAATCTTCCTCTATTTTGTATGTGGGTCACCGCCACAGCATGGCCGCCAATGAGTAGTGTAGGTCCATGCCTGGGATCCAAACCCACAAACCCTGGGCCACCGAAGAGGAGCACGCTGAACTTAACCACTATGCCACCAGGCCAGCCCCTAACAATAATTTTTGGTTGAGTCACCTTTCTACTAATTTAAAGTAAATAAATGCCAAAAGGTAGCTTAGTGTACTTAAAGTTCAAATAACTCCCAGGAGAAGGGGGTGAAAGAGAAAGACAAGAGCAGTGAGAGGCAGACTACAGGTTTAAGAAGAAAGGAAGGAAGAAAGAAAACTTGACACCAGACTGCCCCAAAGGCCAGAAAGTAAGTCCACACATCTGCCAAACTGAGGAAGGTTGTGTAGTTGCAAGACAAGGATCTTGAGATGGGGCAGGGTTCCCTCATTTAGGTGCTATGTTAAATACCCTGACAGTATAGTCTCTGTAAAGTTAACATTATGTTCTAAAACCTATTGGAAAACTACAGCTTGAGGGCAAAATCTTGCCCATGGCCTGTGAATCAAAAAAGGTCTTCATTTTCTTAAAGGGCTGTAAAACGAAAAAACGAAAAATGAACAGGAAACAGAGGCAGTGTGTGTCCCTTTACAGAAAGTCTGCCGACCCATGCTCTAAAACGATCTCCCTTCTCCAAAGAGAACTATAATGATTAAAATAACGCCATTATTCTGAAAAAGGGAATTCCATTTCAATTTGGATGCACTTGACCACACCTGCTGAGGGTGGAAGACGAGTAAAGGTAAAGGCTGAGTCTCCACAAAAACAATTACTATTTGCCAAGAGGAAGGTGATGGCCGGAGGAAGAGTAAGAGAGGAAAGACATAACTAGCCCTTCTTGGGCCAGGTAAGGACTTTACATCCTCACACTCCTCCACCCACAGCTCCCCTACAGCTTTGAACAAGACGTAGTTTCTGACAAGAAATGGCACAGCCTTCATTCCTGTGGGACGAGAGAGACAAGTAAGAAGCAGATAAAGCGCTGAGTAGGAAGTGCTACAAATGAGTAATTTAGCACAAGGTTCCATGAGAGCATACAGGAGTGGCATCTAACCCTCCTTGGACAGACCCAGAAAGAAGTCTGTCGTGTGGAGGTGCTGGGGAGAGGGTGTGTGGCTGGAGCAGAGGTGAAGATGTCATCAGCAAGAGGTGGGGCTGGAGAGGTGGGCAGTGAGCAGATCAGGAAGGGTCTTGTGGGCCATGCTAAGACGCTGGATTTCATTCTGCAGGAAGAAGTGTGGCAGGACCAGATTTGTATTTTAGAATGATCATTCTGGATGCTGTAGAATGAACTGGAGAGGGCAAAATAGGAGGCCCTACAACATCAATTAAAAGCCACATTTAAAAAAAAATCAGTCCTGAAAAGACTACCTTTGCTATAGTCTCAGGCTAATCTTTCTGACCAATCACTTGACTCATTATTAAGAAAAAAAATAATTATTAAATTCTCCAATTCAAAAATGTCTATCTCTCAAGCTGTCAGTTTAGCATCATAAAGCTAAAATAATTATAGACAATAAAGACTCTCAATTTCTGAAATCACTGGAAATAAACCCATAAAAAATCTATGAGCAGTCAAGGTTCCTACGAGTACCTACAAAGTGTGTCACGGCAATACCTGAACCCTAAGGCATGAGACTCAATGACATAGAGAATGCATTGCCAAGGTAACTGGCCAGGCATCTCCTTGGAGACAGATGTGGCAGCTTTTCCGTGGGCCGCAGCAGTCTGGAAAGATGGGTGCTCAGGGCCTCGCATGAGTCATGTTAAAGGAGCTGTGTGAAATACAAGCCCCTCCCTTCCACACGCCCCCTTGCTGGACGCACATGTGCATGTGCACAGTTTTTGCGCGCTTCTGTAGACACACAAATATGTGAAACGCATAGGGCAGCAAGGAGCCTAGAAACCAGCCAACTCTTTGAAATCACATGAGGGAAACTCTGCCCACCTAGGAGGGTTGGGAGTCACTTTGCCCAGTCTTTTGTTTGAGCATTTCATGGCTGGCAGGTTGAGTATCTGCTGGTCTCTGTCTCTGCTCATCTCTGGATTTCTTCCCAGGCCCACGATTTGGGGAGAACAACTCTTGTGAGTGTACTGTGGGCCGTGGAGCTGAGCAGCCGCTTGTCCCGGCAAGGTTACTGCAAGGGCAACGCGGCGGCACTGCTGGATCCTCGAAGATCTGAGGATTTTGTTTTATTGGAACCATTTTGTCTTCGCCTCCTTTAGACACAGATTCAAACTTAGTTAGAGAAAGGAGAGGGGAGTGAAGTGACTGTGCAAGCAGTGGAACAGGATTGGAAGCCACAGATGGACATGGCCCTGCCTCACTGATGCCAAGGCTGCTTTGGCAGATTCTTCCCTGACAGTCTGTACCAGGAGGAGAGGGGAGGGGTGGAGGGAGACCACAGGCAGAGAATGAATACATGTCTTTCTAAGCCCAGATATCCTTCCAAAATCTCTTGGATTTAAACAGCATCACGTAACTCACCTTGTCTAATACAGGACTCTATCAATATTGCATCTCCAAGGCATGCAAGTTCTTCTGCACAGCTGAATGCATTTTCTGAATTCTCCTGAGAGACTGGACATATCATGACTACACATCCGACAGAGCCAAAGCCGTAGGAGGGATCTGGACACTGACTTTGGAAATGGTGCTGAGGGGAAGTACTGACCACAGTGTGATTTCAGAGAAAGACCATATTTAGAAGGTAGGAGAGCTGCCAAGTTTAGCTCACAGAAACAAAAGGTGTATCGGTGTCAAAACACGGTGTCGCATCACCAGAGCAAGAGCAGCTGACAGTGGGGTGCTCTCCAACCTGCTTGACTCAAAGGTCTCCCAACAAAGCCACACAAGCGTGCTGCACTCCCAGCTTCGTCAGCAACGAACCCCCGTCCTAGGGTAGGGGAGTCGTGATGGAAGAGACTAAATCAAACGAAGCGAACAGGCTCTAGAGGCAGAATTATGACTGAGGAATTGCACTGAAAAACCAAGCAAGACCATGAGACTCCTATAAACACTTTAAGCTAATAACAATATGCCTATAGCCATCTTTAATCCAAGGTCCAACGAGAAACTCTAGAAAAACACACACATCACGTGAACTATTTCCCCATATAATGCCTATCATCAAGTCACATGGTTCAGAAACGTGTTCATTTTTCTTGGTGACTGATAGAAATCTCTGACCTTTAGTTTCTAATGTGTGTGTACGCATTTGCAATGTAAGTTTGTGGAATGTATTTTCCTAATAATTGACAGTCAAATTTCTGATGTAAGATGCTCAGTGTTCCTAACTGCATCATAAACTAGAATTAGCACCAACCTTTCTGAAAACAAACCATTCTAGAGCTAATAGATATCAAATATTTATTACATACTAGGCACTATGCAGTTAAAAAATTCCACTTATATCAGTCCTTCCTAGAAGACAGCAATACTGAATGTCTATAACAATTACAACAGGCATAAGCTTGGACTGTCCCAGGTAAACCAGGATGCATGGTCCCTCTGCAGATGGGGGTCTCTGCAGCTGATGTTAGAGCCATCCAGGTTCTAAAGAACCGGAAACATGAAGCCCTTACTGGACTGAGCTGAAGACTTTCCCTACCAAGGAACAATGGTACATAGTAAACTTGTCATCGACCTACAGACTCGTTCTGACTAACCCTCAGGGCTAGATTTTTATTATTAATGGCCTAACTACCATGAGCCTCCTCACTGTTCTAGCACCTAAAAACTTTAGAGCCTTCCCTTAACAAACACTCAGACAAAAAACATTTAGCTCATTTGTTTTCCCTTGCCTACAAAGTAATGGACAAAGCCTGTATATTTTCAAAGTTTTGGTGGTCTTTGTTCTGTTCCCTGACAATTGCTAAGACCCGAGTGCGGCATGGAGGAGAAGCATCCGCGACAGCTGGCACTGCTGCTACCAGCCAGCTGTGGTGTCCTCTGGTCAACACTAACAATTTCACAGAAGGCCAACGGCGGTGAGAACGCTCCAGGAAGGTGATGGAACAAGATGAGAGCCAGTCTACAGTCACACCTGCACAGGGATTAAAAACATTCTGTGCAACCACAGAAATGACCAAATATTGTTCTCCCTGTGAGTGACTCCCGCTTCTTCTCCACTGACAACTCCAGCTCCCATCTGTTCCTCTCATCGGCTAGATAAAAGCTAAGATGACCAATGCTAGAATTGCCCCCACTTCCTGACAGCACCCAATCCTTGAACAGACCTTCAATGCCTTTAACCCACCCCAAGTCACCTGATTCAGGTTTCAGTCCTATAACAACCCTTCCAACACCCTTTTACTGGATGCCCTGGCTTCCCATAGAGTGCAGGCTCCCCACTATGACAAAGTAACAAACCAAATTCTGTTACCCTCAGGCCCTCCTGGTGATCTCTGGCTGTTGGGCATCAACTGTTTTTTAAGTGAATTTTCTCATTTGGTCCTTACAAAAATTCTAATATATTTTATATTACTATAACATAAAATATATTAGAATATAATATTACATTACATAAAACTAACACAATTATTATATATATTATTATATAATATTATAATATATTACATAAAACATTATAATTAAAATAATAAGCAATACATTATATTATAATTAAAATAATACATTAATTATTTTATAGGATACATAAACTTGGGGTAGTTGAGATCTTTGCCCAAAATCCAGAGCTAGTAAGTGGCAGAACCGGAGTTTACCCAGCTAATCCAACAAAGATAAAACAGTTGAGCCAACAGTGATTAAACACCGCACACAATTGTATCTTAGGAGAAAACAAGCCAATGAGAAACATGTCCCACTCTGGTATCACAGCTGGCTCTGCTACTCCAGAGGACAGGGCAGGGGTGGAGTCAGCACCACAGAGATCCGAACCCTGGTCATGGCCAGGTAGAGGGAATATAGAGCCTCTCCCAGCAAGGACACCAGAGAGTGAAGGAGGGTGACGACAAAACCTGAGCCTGTCCCAGGGGACCCTACAGGTGGGGTCACTGCAGTTGGCGTGGAGCCCTCGGGTTTGGATGATAATCTGCTCCCGAGCTCCATGGTTAGGAAGGTGGGGACCTGAGCAGGGTACAGGTGGAGCCATTTGCATCCCATCTGTTTTAGACACAACCCTTCTTAGGGAAAAGAATGCCCTGCCTCGGGTCTGGGGGTGGGAGAAACTTGATGAGCGGCTGTGGAGGAAGTCAAGCGGTGTTTCTCTCTGGTTTATACGTCCTATATATTAAATAGGTCTCTTCATTTTTTAAGTGCCTGATATGAAGAGAGCTTCATTTGGTCAAAATAGGCAGGTGACCTAGAGATAAACGATGGGCACATTGACGTAGAAACCATTTGGCAACAACTTTTAAAAATAATTCTAAGCTTAACTTAAAAATAATTCTGAGTTTATAAAAAAACAAAAACAAAACAAACAACAAACAAGTTTCTGCAATTCTTCCAGCAAAGTGAGACCTCGTTCATGTTTGCAACTGGACTGCTTCTTTCAGCTCATTACTGTAAGTAAAATTCGACAAGCAAAAGTTTGCTGAATTATTAAATATTCTAGTTACCAGTGAACAACAGTTTAATGTGTCTTTCACAACTCAATGGACTCTTCAGAACCGTACTGTGCTGTGGAATTCTGCAGTTGACTGTGTATGCAGCTGGTAGGGACTTTCCACCTCATCCTGGAAAGTCTGGTCTTTTGTGATTTGGCTTTACTGTGGACGCACAGGTCATCTTACTAACCTACTACACGGGGAGCTGAAGCAGCAGAAGCCACCTGTGCAACCACTGTGTGACTGCTGATTACACTGGATGCAAAAAAACGAAAAGTAAAGAACTCATACATCCCAACAACAAAAAAACTAACAACCCAATTAAAAAATGGGCAAAAGATCTGAACAGACATTTCTCCAAAGAAGATATACAGATGGCCAAGAGGCACATGAAAAGATGTTCAACATCATTAACTATCAGGGAAACGCAAATCAAAACCACAATGAGATATCACCTCATGCCCGTCAGAATGGCTACAACTAACAAGACAGGAAACAACAAGTGTTGGAGAAGATGTGGAGAGAAGGGAACTCTCACACACTGCTGGTGGGAGTGCAAACTGGTGAAGCCACTATGGAAAACAGTATGGAGATTCCTCAAAAAATTAAGAATAGAACTACTATATGATCCAGCTATTCCACTGCTGGGTATTTATCCAAAGAACATGAAAACATGAATGCGTAAAGATACACGCACCCCAGTATTCACTGCAGCGTTATTCACAATAGCCAAGACTTGGAAGCAACCTAAGTGCCCATCAAGGGATGAATGGAGAAAGAAGATGTGGTATATATACACAATGGAATACTACTCAGCCATAAGAAATGATGAAATCCAGCCATTTGTGACAACATGGATGGACATTGAGGGTATAATGCAAAGTGAAATAAGTCAGAGGGAGAAGGTCAAATACCGTATGATTTCCTTCATTAAGTAGTAGACAATGACAACAATAAACAAACACATAGAGACAGAGATTGGATTGGTGGTTACCAGAGGGGAAGGGGGGAGGGAGGAGGGGGGAAGGGATAATTCGGCACATGTGTGTGGTGATGGGTTGTAGTTAGTATTTGGGTGGTGAACATGATGTAATCTATGCAGAAATAGAAGTATAATGATGTACACCTGAAATTTTTACAATGTTATAAACCAATGTGACCACAATGAAATTTAAAAAAGAAAAAAAAGTTACTTATAAGCATTTCAAAAGAAAAAAATGAATTGAAGATCATTCAACACTAAAAAAAAAAAAGTCGGAGTACTGTGTTCTTTTTAAAGATACGCATGTGAGCTCCCAGGCTCAGGCAATGTTAGAAGAAACACAGAGAGTCATGCCGCCCAACCTTGCCCTTCAACAGCGGAGGATGGAGCAGCAGGGTCTGCCGAGACTTGTTGAGGGTCACAGCTGGAACGTGCCCGGGTTAGGCCCTGCCCTCATGCCCACCAGCCCCTGTCCAACGTTCTTTCCACTCAGCTCCATGCTTGAGGGTCTAACTCCTTTCCGTGGTATCATTTTCCCATCAGAAAATTCTCTCCTTCAGTGACAGTGTTTGGTAACGTGGGCTTGCCCAAGGTCACTGAATACATTTCTCAGGAATGACAGGGCAATTCCAATGGGGGCTAACTCTGTCCCTATAACATGCAATTTTAAGTGATACTGTAGACAAGTTACTTCAGAAATAGACCATCGGTGAATGAGAGCACCAACACTGAAGGCACTTACTTGATGGCGGCCTGTAGCTTCTCACACAGAACAGTGAGCACAGAGACAAGGTCGTCACAGAGGGACTCAACCGTCGACCCTTCAAACAGAGGAGGTGACAGGCGTTAGACACTGGCAGGGGCACTAGAAGCTTCCTCAACAGTCCTTCCCATTCTCCGCTTTTGATGTTTTAAGGACTGAAAAGATGATTTTCAGATGCTGAGCCTTCCTTTGGCCACCAAAACGATCACAGAAAAGAATTAAATATAATTATTCATTTCTAAAGTAAAACACTCAAAAGATAGTCTAGAAAGAAAACAGATTGTTTCTATTATAAATAAAATTCATTTACACTTAACAAAAGGAGATTTCATTAATTTAGGAAACAACAAAATTGACAACAATTTTCTCAATACTTAGGCCAGTAGACTACACAGTTATGTGTCGCTTAACAACAGGATATGTTCTGAGAAATGTCATTAGGCGATTTCATCGTTGTGTGAACATCACAGAGCGTACTTACTCAAAACCTAGATGTTACAGCCTACTACACACCTAGGCTCTATGCTACTAATCTTACAGGACCACCACCACATATGCAGTCCATCACTGATGGAAACATCGTAATGCAATGCATGACTGTACATGTATCCTTTATTTTGACCTCTTGAATTTCTGGGTCTTGTATCCCAGAGAGAGAAAACGTGGCAGCATGGAAAAAAGATGAGCTTTTCAAACTCAAACTAAGAAACAAGGGAAAGAGGGCAAAATAATTCAGTCACCATCTTCAGACATGGTCTTTGTTGTTAACAGAGCAACTGCTAATGTTAGAAAAAATAATTCTCCCTGCAAACATGTTCATGTCCAGAAACTAGCAACAAAACTCCTACAGGAGCACTGGAGTCTACTGAAAAAGGCTGAAATTTGGAATATGTTTAAGTACTGGCCCACAACTTGCTGATTGCATGAGCTTGGGTCAGCTTCAGTTTTCCCTTTGGCAAAATGGGATAAATAATCCCAATTTCACAGAATTTTTGGGCCAGGTGAAGTACCAAGTAGAAGCACATGTTCTTTTATAATAAAAACCAGTTAAGATCTACACAAATGTGGCTAAGTATTTGATGAATGTATAAATGAATAATGACCATGAGGCCAAGGAAGACGGAGAAAAAATGACAAGCGTGCAAGAGAGAAAATAAAAGTAAAGTTGGAGGAGGGCAAGGGAAAGAGAAGTGGCTGATCCTCAGAATTTACGATCTTAAATGCAGGAAAAAAATTGAGAAATGATAAGGTACAGTGATAAAACACAGCTTAAAATAAATAAAACTCATAAGTAGTCCTTAAACTCAACTTTAGTTAAATTTCAAATGAGTCCATCAATTGTTTACTAATATATTTTTTAAAGATACGTCTTTGACTAAGAGGACTTGAACTTCCGTTTTGGTTTGTAAAATCATCCCAAACTAACATGGAGATTTTATGGGAACTGCGATCGACAAAGGAGAGAAAGGCAGGTGGAAATGTTGGCACACATGGGTGGCAGCTCCCAGAGGTGAGAAGATGCTGTAGCACGTCCGGCCCACAGCCTGAGAGCACAGAGGACCCGACTACAACAATGTACTCAAGCAACACTCTAGAAAACAACAACGTATTCCTCCTTCTCATTTCCTTCCTTTGGTCTTTTTCTCCTAATTGGTGCTGTTTATCTGCTTCTCTCCCTCCCTCTACTCCCTCCCTTTTCCAGCTTCTCTCTACTCCACTCCTTCTCCCTATTACTAACTGGAAAAATATCAAAGAAAAGCAGATTTTTCCAGTACTTTTTACATTACTGAATAAAATCTGAAATAAAACATATTTCAATTTTTTAATCAAATAATTTGAATTTTTCATATCTCTTTCAGAAAGCAATTCTACCAAACAATTTTTAAAAAAATCAAACTGCTTGTCAGTTACATGTGGATCTCTATTTTCTCTTTTCCTGTGGGTCAGATGAAAGTTCCTCACCTTGATTTCATCTGCTACTTAAACTGGGCTGTCTGTCCTTCTGCAAGATTCCCTGTGAGATGACTCATTCTTCATATCAAAAAATCGGTATTTCACAAACATACTGGGGGTACAATAGCACTTCATGTCAGTCAGGTTTCTACAACCATCTATCCAACTCTCATTTAACAATTAATAAACCTGACTTCGGGCCGGCCCTGTGGCTTGGTGGTTAAGGGCGCGCGCTGCAATGCTGGTGGCCCGGGTTCGGATCCCGGGTGCGCATCGAGGCACCACTTCTCCGTCCATCCTGAGGCCGAGTCCCACATACAGCAACTAGAAGGATGTGCAGCTATGACATACAACTATCTACTGGGGCTTTGGGGGGAAAAAATTAAATAAATAAAATCTTTAAAAAAAAAAAAATAAACCTGACTTCATGAAGAACAAAGGAACTAAACAGCCAGGCTCCAACAGGAAGGTATGTGAGGGTGACTCTCCTCACAGAGGTGGAACAGGAGTGGGACAGAAGATGACGCATCTGATTCAACACCAGGGAAGGCAGAGCTCAGCAGAAGCTCTGAGGAAAATGGTGAGTGATCCGAGAGCCTCCTCATCTTCACGTCCCCAACAGCAAGCACACAGTAGGCATTGTCATACAAGCTTTTTAAACTGAACCAGCAAAAATCAAATCCAATACCTTGACTCCTGAATTCCTGTGGGACATCCGGATTTTCAATTATCTAGTAAGGGAGACACACACAGGACAATTAGGAGATTCAGGCAAGAAAACTCCTGACTCTTAAGACAATGGAAAATTCTAGGAAACAAAGCGTCATTCTGAGTGCTCTGGGCTCAGCTAACTTACCTATGTGCACTTTCCAAGTCTTGACAGCATTTCAGTACTCGTGGTATTTATGAAAAGGCTATGATGTCTGGAATTGAGCTTATTAGTTTCAAAATAACTCATTCCAGAGGCCACAAACTTCCCAAAGTTTAAGCCCAATGGTGCACTTCATGATTCTGGGTGTTGAGCTATGACTTGGGGCAATACCTGCCTAAACAGTGAGTTACCTTCACACAGAAAACAATTTGTCCCAAGGTCACAGACTATACTCCAGTTGGCACCTAACGAATACAGACTCTTAGTCACAAGAAGGATCAGGCTCCTGGACCTCAGGGTGCAGGTCCAAAGAGGGCTGCTGGTCAGAGCACCAGCTTCCCATCTGACGGGACTGCAGACAAGCACTCCAGGCTGCACAGGTAGATCCAGAACTATCAGGGCAGAGACAGAACCTCCGGGGGAGGGAGAACAGGAAGAGAAGGACATTTCCTAATAGTAAGGGATGATTCAGTGACCACTGAGTGGAGAGCTGGAAGGAGGCTCTTCAATCTCCCTCCCTCTTAGCACTAGGAGATGAGAACAGGGCCTCTTCACGCTAATGAACTAGACATATCACCATCCCATGGCACTGTTTTTCTTTTTTCAAACTCGTTATATTTCTACCATTCTCTGTTCATTAATTTGCAAACTCAGCTGCTTCCACATCATTCTTTGGAAATGCTGTGCCCGTGTCCACAGCTCAGCACACAGCTAGAACAACATTTTCTGGAGGTAATATACCTGAATCATTTTTAAGGACAGGAGAAACACCACCATCTACCCCTCAAATATTTACATGTGGCATTTTTGCTTTTTGAAATCAGTAACTTACAATTTAACAATGGCTTTTATCTTCTAAATAATCCAACAATAAAGGCTGACAATAACTCAGGGTTTCTGAGGATCCAAAATCAAATCGGGTTATCTGTCCTGACCTGGGGGGCAGGGGGGATAGACATTAGGTCAAAGATACATTTCATGTTAATGCTTTGGCATTCTAGATTTATTTCCTTGCAGTTAAGTCTTCCTAATTCTGAGATGGCCCATGAGGGCTTTTCAGTGATGCTACACACTACACACACCTTCCCTAGGTAATGCTCAGCGTCCATGAGAGAAACTCACCATTCCTACAGACCACTCTCCTTAACAGCTTTTTAAAAATAAACATTCTTAGGTGGCAAAACACGTGTCTCCCTCTAGTAGACATCACAAATCTTCAAATATTAGCATCCTGAGAACTGTCTTTTTCTGGGACATGGAAACATCTCCAGGGACCACAAGAGTAATAGAAACGAAACAACAGGAAGCACTAATTTTCCACCTAATTTGGGATCTTGTCTCTGGCTGGGGTGAGTGCAGATGGTCAGTGATGAGCAGGACCAGACAGCTGGTTAGCCACAAATAAGTGCTCTTCTAATACAGGGCACAGAGGCAGACAACTCTCCAGTTTCATCCAGGCCTCTGCAGCTGCACCTGCGATGGTTCTTACAGAAGAGCACCAGGAGCTAAAAGGCTCGGTCATCTCACCTGAACCCTAACGCTCTCCTGCTTAGAACTGAACAGATAAGATTAAATGAACTAACACAACTGATGTCACTTTGAAACTACAAAGTCCCATTTATGTTTCATCTTAAAACATCAAAATATCATTACTGTTATAGTATTTCATCATGTTGGCATTTAGCAAGGATGGAATATGATCGTATATTAATACAAGAATTCTCAACATCATGGATTGTTTCCGGTAAAAATACTTTTTTCTCTTAATATGTTTTCTGTTTATAGACAAACTTCTTTTAAACTAATATTCCCACACCACCATATTCAAAATGCTAGTATGAATGAAATACTTTTTAACAAAGAATAAGCTAATGTAATAAAAATATCTAAAGAAAACAATTCTTTAATAGAAACTTGGGCTTTAGATGTGGCAAATACAAAAAAAAAAAAATCAGTATTTGTTTTTTCAGATGAGCGCTGCTTCTCTCAACACTGGCGGCCAGGCTGGCACGTTAACAACCTGGACTGGGAGTCAGTTGGGAGGCAGGTTCCTTCCGGCTCTTCCACTGATAAGAGCACCAATTTCAGATTTCTGTTTCATCTCTCTGAGCTGCGTCTTCCTCATCTGCTTTGCGAGGAATAAAAGAATCTGACTAGATCATCCCTAAGGTTCCACTCAACTCTATGATTTTCAAAAAATTAGAAACTATTTGAAGTTAAAAATTAGAAATTTTTGAAGTTAAACATGAAATCTTAATTTTCATAAAATTAATTTGAGATGTTTCAGACAGCCACTGAGATTTCCTATTCTAAAAAATAACTAATAAAGTGTTCATTTCTGAACACTTCTTGCAGATTCTAAAAGAATTTTAATCTGAATTTTTACAGAGGCAGTTTTTTTAAAAACACCAATTTTGAAGAGGAATCATTGCCTCATTAACATCCCCAGAAGATAATATATACAAGAAGCCAATTACATTTACATTTCTTCTGGGACCACTCATTTTCGACAATGTTCAAGCATAGAGCAAAAAGCTCTGGTGGGCTCTGATGCAGAGAGAAGGCAAACTCAGCTTTCCTAAAGCTGATGGCACCAGCAGGTGAAGGAGACCCCGGCCACAACCTTTAGTTAACAGAGAAACACACACACCAAACCTCAAAGTAGGTAATTAACTGCAATGATTTTTTTCTTAATTTCAAATTTACTTCTATTTGTTAATATATCACAGTAGTTTTTATAAAAATTTTCAATATGAGTTTTAAAAAAATGATTAAAAAAGAAAAGTGAATTTTAAAATAATGTCTAAAAAATGATAGAAACTGTATGGAAAAACAACTCTCAAAGCTTTAGAGTAAAACAGGCAGAGATATATTTAAAGAACTTAATTTATATAAATAAATGTTCTTCTAAACCAAGCCAGCCCTCTCTCCTGTTTTGGCAGGAAGCAGCCCTAGTGGGGGCCATGTGGAACATGGAACACACAGCATGCAGTTGGACACAAAGGCTGGCAAGACCGTGATGAAGGTGCGGACACCGCGAGGCTCACCGTGTTCTCCTGCCTCTGTCGTAACTGTAAAGTCAAGTCACTCAGCATTTGACTGAGAGTTGCCCGCACAGCAGTGTTTATACTGCGCTGGTGACAGCTACACATGTATGTCTCAATGCACACCTGGTAGAAAAATAAGACAGCAACACACACGCTCGGTAGGTACCAGTTCAATTACCAACATGCTGGAGGGGATATTAAATCTCTTTTAAACAGAAAGTCAGCCTGATTTAGGACTAGTTATCAATAAGTCCTATAAATATTTAAAATCCCTAGGAATTTGCTTTTAAGCATATAGGAAAAGTAATATTTCCCTAAGGATTATCCTTTTACAAGCTTATTCTTCTGAGTATCACAGGACAATGGAAATTCGTGACTGTTAGAAATGCCAAATAATCCTATCTAGAACAAACTCAGGTGGCTGGAAATTAATCAGGAAAAACTCCCTCCATGGCAACAGAGGGACAGAATTTATTAACTGCTGAGTTATGAAGTGTGAGGAAAGGGTTAGTGAAACTCCTTTTCCTGCTCTATAAACAATCTGACCCTGGATTAACCCTCTAGCTGTGGTGTTCTCCTAGAAATCTGATAAACGTGGACGTCAGCGGTGTCACCAGGCAGCATGGCTTACAGTAAACTGCTTTCTGATAACTAAGCTGCATCTGAACTGGGAAAACTGTGAATGAAATATGAAAACCTGGTAGGAATTCACAGGCTTGGGCTTCCCTGGGTGACTCTTGTCCTTGGTCACGCCCTCCGAGGGAACTCTGCAAGCTCTGCTCATGGCGTTGTTACAGAAATACTGGTTCCCACAGAGTTGAAACACGGGCTCCTAAGCCAAGGTGGCTGTGCACCCACTGAGGTGGCTCTCAGCGTCCTGCTCCTCAGGTGATGTCTGAGAGCCCGGCACCAGCCTCTGGACTCCCATGAGCCATACATGCCTGCCCTGCCCTGCTGCACTCCCTGTCCCACAACTGCTTCGGCTCCCCGTCCCACACCTGTTGTGGCTCCTGCCGTGGCTCCTGGTCCCCCACCTCCTGCGGCTCCCTGTCCAACACCTGCTGAGTAAACAAGACTCCGGCTGTGGCCTATTTGGGTCTTGCGAGTCTGAACGTCTAGTTGAACCTGAGAAGACTTCCTGATGGCTGTAGCATGATGAAATCCCAGTTTGAAAAAAAAATCCCTTATTTGATGATATTGATGTTAAATATCATGACTTTTCATATTTTATTACTTCTAATTCTTCTAGAAGCTACAGGGATGGGCATAAGAATACATGGATGCTTTAAACCTGCCCATGTTTTTCTCTCTAAAGTGTGTTATCCTTTCCGTTTTACCAAGCATATTTAGTCCCACAAAAAGAAAACAAAGGGATTTAATGTCCCTGAATTATTTTTCTCGGAATAACTCCAACATTATCCACAATGAGAATACAGGATTCTCACCTAAATGGCAAATTTAATTTGATGATGGATAACTGAGATGGGCGAGAGACTAAATGTTGACTTTTGCTGTTGCTACTGCTTAAGCTAGAGCTTTCTGCCCGGCCTCACGCTAATAATCTTTTTGGTGACATTAACTAGGTAAAAGTAAATTTTTCTAACAGTTTAATTTATCTCTTCTAGAATGTTTAATATTCTAAATGAGCATTTAAAATTCAAAAGTATATTTGGAAGTTGGTTTAGATTAACTCATTGTAAGTTAAAGAGCAAGTTCCAAAATATCTATGTTTCAAAACACTATTTAGGGCATGTCAATTTTAAATTTATTTTCTCAAATGATCATGCATTATAATGTACTTGAAGGTACAATTTATAAATACTCAGAAAAAAGTATGTGTTTTAATCCTGAAAAGCTTTTTACTTTTGAATGGGATGAAACGGTTTAAAAACCTTGAAAATACATCTAAGTGAGGGTGGTGTTCACTTTGATGAAACCAAATTCTCCACAGTGTAAGGAGGTACACTAGGACCATTTGTACCTCAGAATTGAACAGTTCTCTTTAAATCTTACATTCTCCCAAGGAGTCTTTGTAACTGTTGATCTTTATAAGATCTCTAAGCTCTGACATTATAAATTTAAGGGGGAATTTTAAACCTTAGCAGCATTCAAGATGAAAGAGTAACTAATTTGAGAACTGAACTACATGCAACATAAACACAATTCTCCCGAATACTGAGAGCCATACCCACTAAACAACCTCCCTTAAAAACTCTATCAGTCACTGCAGAGTCCTGAAAGAAGGCACACAGCAGGAACCGGGTTTTAAGTAACACAGACAGTGCTGTAAACAGACAAGAACTCCCCAAGTGCACGTCTTTGAGTGTTAAGGTCCCCACTGCTTCCGTGTGCACTGCTGACCCCAGAGTGCAACACTGCCGGTGACTTCCTGCAGGAGGGTCTTATTACAGGAAAACACAGGCATGTTTACTTTGCTAAAAACAAAGTATTGATCTAAGAAGCTCATTCTACTAAGTCGGGAGTATAAATACTTAATATGACAAAAGGCTATCCTTTTAAATATAAAAATGACCATGTATCTGATAATATCACTACCCTTAGGTCCCCAGAAAGAAATGCCTTATCAGCTATCCTGACATCTTCTAAGGAAATATTTCTTAAACTTGCTATACTACTAATAGACTGGTAAATCAGTAAGGTTCACAGGACTAGGGTTTCCATTATGACCACCGTATTCAAGGTCAGTGCGTTTTCACTTAGCGAATGTTTTTCTTCCTCTACGCTGAGGCAGGGTAAAATATACACGTTGAATCAGAGATGCCAAGAGAATACCGAGTCCAAAGGCAGGCTGAGTTTCTGGAAAGGGCTCATCAATTTCTTCTTTTCATATCTCCAATATCACTTCTACCTCCCATGCCCTTTGCTGTCGTAGTGCAGAACTGACACTTAAAAAGCCTCAATCCTGCACATCAGCCAGAGGCTCAATGGGCCGAGTCAAGTACCTTGTGAAAAGCCACAGGCCCCTGATCGCCAGGGAACACACGGAGACACAGGGCAGTGAGGAGTTTCGTGATGGACATTTTGATCATTTCATGCATTTGTGGACATCCAGCTTTACGGCATGCTAAACACAACTGTGAGCAAAAACACAAATCGTTAATGAAGCAACATAAACCACAAAAGCCGAAGGACAAAGAACAAGAAAACACAAGTCTGCAAGCTGGCCATAAGCAATAAAAGTTTTATATCAAGTAAGTAAACTGATAAATAACAGTACTAGGTTAAACCCAGGGTGAAATCACTATTATTAAATATGAAGCAGTGTGGTGGAATGTGGTGGATATTCAATAATATTATTCAATAATTTGAATAATAAATTATTCAAAAATAATTTATGGTGATAAAAAATTGAGAGGATCAGAGATTAAGCTACAAGAAAGCAAAGGAATGTCTTCCACACAGGGAAGACTATGAAAGCTTGTTGATCACACTAGAACCAAAGAAAATTTTGATTATCACTACAAGTCTAAAGTCTACCCTGAATCAAGACGACAACTCCATGGCCAGGCCATTTGCAGGTGACCAGCTGTAACAGGTGGGTATGTGACAGGAGGCACCTCATCAAATGGGTCCTGCTGATGCATACACACACAGAGTGAACTGAAGTTGTTTTATTATTTCCAAGAAATATGTGTATAAGTAAGTCTGATCACCATGTTTGGGTAGGGAAATTTGCTGGTTTTCCTTTTGGATCTCAACTTAAAAGGAAATTCTTAAAGTGCCCAGGCACACATGGACAAATCTGACTGTGACCTCCCTCTTCCTCCTCCAAGTTCTTCTTGCTTAAGCTGGCCTATTAAAATGGCTTAAACTCTTGCACCTTCCCAGGCAGAGCCTTTTGCTTGGTCTACAGAGCGTCTACTGAACTCTAGCCTCTGCCCATGCACCAGCCCAAAATGAAGTAGAGAGGATCTCTGCATTTCTCTATGTATCTTCTAACTCCAAATCAGTTCTTCAAGAGCCATGCAAGTCAGAGGTTAAAGGGAAGCGTGGAAATTCCTTGCAAAAGGACTCATTTGCTCAAAGCCCATCCGGCAGTAAGTAGCCAAAGAAAAGACACCTCAGAGGAGTCAAACCAGAGTGAGTAAAGAGACGGGCCCACGAGGTAGAAAAGAAACGGTTTCCAGAAGGAACAAAAGAGTTTCCAGAAGGACAAGTGGAGAAGCTTCTTAGAACGGGATTTCCTTACTCCAGCGGTTCCTTACGCACTGGTTTGAGACAATAGTCCAGGATCCCTTGCCAGGAGGTGGGGTTACTCCTCCCAGTCTTAGAGGGAACATAACAAATGAGAGGCTTCCAAGATAAATGGGTCAGGTCATCTGTGCTCTTGTCTTCTGGGTTATGTCTGGACACTATCTGCCCCTTAATTGTAGAATATTTTATTGGAGGTATGTCTCAGAAATACTGTTACCACATTAGACTAAAAACAAAAAGTATCTCTGAACATTTCAAGAGTTATAAGTCAGCCCGATTAGTGACAACTAGAATTATTAAATCGGAATCTTTGGCAGCAGGTCTTGAGCCTCAGTGTTTTTTAAGCTCCCTAGGGTAACAAGTAGAACTAAACTCTAGATCTTCTAACGGTAATATAATGGTCAGAAAAGATAAACTGAGTATCAGTACGTAAAGATACCCAAGAAAGTGGCATATGCCTAGTGGTCACTCGAATCTATGGTCACAAAAAAAGTGAAATGCATCAATACTTCTGCTTCACATGTAAAAACACCATACAGCCATTATCTAACTAAATGCCTTGGTAAAGGTCCAAGGGGAGAAGATGCCTAAGTATTTCAGTCAGTTGTCAATATCATTACGTCAAGATTCTACCAACTTTTCTAAGACTGAGGGTAGCCAGGAAGCAATACAGCATGGTTAACACCATATATTTAAAATATAAAATTTCTAGATTTGAATGTCGAGCTGTGGAAACTTGGGCAAGTAAATTAACCTCACTTTCCCTGGGATTCTTTATCTAGCTTGGTTGTGGTAGCGATTAAAAGAGAACATACGTAAAATGCTACCATTGAGACGCCCTAGGGACTCAACCACTAGTAGCTACTATTATTAATCAGTGTTTTGGAATTGAGGGATGGATGGGTAGA